CAACTCAACCAACTCACTGTTGAAGATGGCAGTTTGAATGGATTATTGAACCAGTTCTCACTGTTATTTGAAAACAAATTGGTGAAAATGCGTTATTTCAAAGCTTTCGTCAAACTCCGAGAGGGTGCCGAACCAACATTTTACAAAACTAAATCATTACCTTATGCTTTGCGCCCTAAAGTTGAGGCAGAGATACAACATGTGCAATCAGAAGGAGTCATAGTCCCGGTGCAACCTTCAGATTGGGGCCCTCCGATTGTACCTCTACTCAAACCTGACGGCTCCGCGCGTATTTGCGGAGACTACAAATTGACAGTCAAACAAGCGTAAAAAGTGGAAAAATATGCCCTACCGCGTATTGAAGACTTGTACTCGACTTTAGCCGGTAGCCAAAAGTTTTCCAAGCTGGATCTCAGTCACGCATACTCTCAGGTCGAACTTGATGATGAGTCACAGGGACTGACCACAATAACTACCCACCGCGGACTATTCCAGTACACGCGTCTCCCGTTTGGAATAAATTCAGCACCCAGCATTTTCCAACGTATAGTGGGTAATATAGTTAAAGATATACCTTTCACCTGTGCATACTTGGACGATATCCTTGTTACTGGTCACAGTGACGCTGATCATCTAAACACATTGCGAACTGTTCTCGAGCGTCTGGAAGGGTGGGTCGAAATTAAAATAGTCCAAATGTTAGTTCTTATCCGATTCTGTTTGTTACCTTGGTTGCAAACTGGACAAAACCGGTTTGCGTGTCCGCAAGATAAAATAGCGCCTATTGTGCAGGCACCTCAGCCCAAGAATAGTGATGAACCATGATTATTCCTAGTAATGTTGTCCCACTATCGTCGTTTCCTACCTGACGCCTCGACCATTCTTGCTCCACTGAACGAACCGCTACACCAGAACAACCCGTGGATGTGGAAAAGTGAGTATTAGCCTGCTTTTACTTGTGCAAAGAAGTGTCTTGCTACCGCATCTGTTTTGGTCCATTACGATAGTGAAAAACCGTTAATCTTACAGTGTGACGCCTCTCCATACGGAGTCGGAGCAGTTCTATGCCACAAAATATCCAATGGTGTCATTCACCCGATTGCATTTGCTTCACGAACTTTACAACCGGCCGAAAAGAATTACTCCCAGCTGGATAAAGAAGCCCTGTCAGTTATATTTGGCGTCAAGAGGTTTCATCAGTACATTTGGGGAAACTATTTCGAAATACAAACTGACCACAAACCACTGAAATCCTTGCTGTGCGAGTCAAAGGGAATCGAGCAGATGTTTTCACCGAGAATGCAACGCTGGGCATTAATATTAAGTGCGTATAAATATCGAATATCCTATATTCCTGGGTTGAACAATCATACAGCGGATGTATTAAGCAGGTTACCACATTCCACATCAGACGAAATACTGGAGGAACCAGTAGAGCTTGTAAATCTAATGCAACACCTCGACACCACTCCATTGACAGGTGACACCATACGACAGTGGACCAATCGTGACCCAACGCTAGCTTCTGTAGTGCGATTTGATAAAACCGGCTGGCTTATTACAGTTCCCGTCGATCTTAAACGTTACGAACAACGGAAAAATGAATTGAGCCTTCACGATGAATGCTTGTTTTGGGGATCCCGCCTGATTCCACCGATAAAACCACGGCCGTTCATCATAAAGGAACTCCACAACGCGCATCCAGGCGTAGCCCGAATGAAAGCCTTGGCGCGCGGTTATTGCTGGTGGCCTGGCCTAGATACAGAGATAGAGAACTATCTAAAAACATGTGGTTTGTGTCAGCAGTATCAGTCAAATAAAGCTCCCGGTCCGGTACACCATTGGCGTTGGCCTGAAAAGCCATGGCAGCGCATCCATGCGGATTACTTTGGACCCATTAATGGTGTATTTTTCCTGCTGCTAATTGAAGTTCATTTGAAATGGATAGATGTTTATCCCGTTGCCCACCCTACTACAGAGACAACTATCTCCAAAGTGCGGTCGTCAGTTTCAATATTTGGGATACCGGAGGCACTCTGCACAGACAATGGGCCATGTTTCACTAGCAAAGAATTTGTAATCTTCATGAATAGCAATGATGTCCGTACAGCTCCATATCACCCTGCTTCTAATAGGCTAGCGGAAAGGGCGGTGCAGACAATTAAAAGAGGTCTCACAAAACAAGCACCAGGAACTGTTCAGATGAGGTTATATTGCTTGCTGTTTGCTTACAGGATAACGCCAACGGAAGTCACTGGTAAATCTCCTGCGGAGATGTTGTTTGGTCGGACACTCCGTACCAGACTGGATCTTCTGTTTCCAAATCATAGATCACAAATGGAGAGGAAACAAGACAAGGTTGCCGCATTGCAAGATGACCACGACTCTAGTTGGCAGCCGGGTGACCCCGTATACACACGATTTTCGCATGAGCGCTGCTGGCAGTCCGCAACTGTAATTAAAGGTGACTGTACCCAAGCAGATCCCGAATTAAAGAGTCGGATAGTACGGTGACACTCAGACCACATACGCTCACGTTTTGTTGGGACAACAGCAGATGAACGTCAGGGTGAATTAGCATTCGTTCAGCCGGAAACGGAAGCAACCCCCCAGGATTCTGTACAGTCGTCAGATGCACCATCACTTTTCTAGATCGCAGCGTACGCATAAACAGGTTGACCGGTTCGTGCCAGGAGTATAAAGATTTCAAAAGATGAGGGGATGTCACGTATGCGAATGACTTCGATCCCTTTAATTGCGCCGTGAGCTGATTGGTTACCACTCACACCATCCAGCCAATCATCTGACACACACCCCCGGTCTCGCGGCGCGAGTTTCCGTGACTCTTGTACCTTCTCAATTGGTTGATAAACCTCCTGCTGTTCAGACGTCTTCTGCTTGCTGGGATTACGTGTCTCGGAAGCGTGCGTTACATGCTTAGTGGTACTACGTTTTACAGAAAATACTCATCCCATTGCATGAAGATTCTAAAAATTCTCCGAAAGGAGCACCAAATTAACTTACAGGGGAAGGTGGTAAGAAAATACCCCAATCTCAGGATATTTGGTGAGAATTTGATTTTTGATTTGATTTTCCCATTTGATTTGATTTCCCACTGTGTCCGAAGTTGGTAGTTTATTACAAATCACACTGCGGTCACAAAATCAAAAGAATGCCATGTTACTTAGGGAAAGCATATCGCAGAGCGGCTAAAACACCATCGGAGGGATAACTTTGGATCGTCATTTTTGTGAACTGTGACGTGCAACATCAGTCTGGACCGGGATTAGCATCTAAGTGAATCTTGGTCAATTTGATCACTGGGACCACAGCTGAAGTAGATAGATTTAGCTGTTATCTGTTGACACATTAAAACAGGTTTAGTACATACGCTCGTCAGATAGAGCTAGTGGCAATGTGACGCAACTCCTGGACGCTGGGATGTCAGTCAAAACCCTACTCCTTGGTCATCGAGTTTCAGAGGGCAATGCTTATGACAACGGTGGCGGGTTCGAGTAATAGTCCTGCTATCTCTACAGTATGAGTGCAACTGAATAGGAAACCGGTTGCGGAATGCAGTGTTGTGTACGAGTAACACAGCATTTATCTGCTCCAGCTGTAACCCGGGCGACCAAAGTGACCTAGGCTCACAGCACTGTGACCTGTAGTCCACATGGAGATTGCACCTTGCGCTCTGTTCACGCAATCGGTGATTCAAAATGGATTTTCTGATGAACCAATGGCCGCTATAACAAATTTTGTCCGCGGCTAGATAGCTTAAAGGGGACTTCGGTGGATATCCCAAGGTCCCTGGGTTAGAGTTGCAGCGCTGTTGTCTCTATGTGACGGACGCAATTTAATGCGGGACCGTTTTCAAAGTGTCGTGTTGTGGGCGGATAACACCCAACAGTTATCTAAGAAAACGCCCATTTGTCCGGTGGGCATCTTCTAATTCATGTGATTAAATCTTTATTCTGGAGTAAAGGAAACATAATACAAGGTGAAAAGTTCCGGAACATAAGTATATCCCTAGGGAAAGGGATCATGTTAAGTAATAACAAGAAAAACAAGAAGCCGTACAACTAAGTACTACAGAAACAAATAACTGTTCATAAACTAAACACATCAGAAGATTTATCCTTAAGTCCTGGAGTACCCAAGCGAAGGTTATTAAAAAAACCAGAAGACACACTTATGCTCGCATATACCTAATAGGAATGCTACACAGCACACAGAGATCCCGAATAAAGGGCATGACGTAGCTGGGCGACCAAGGTTTAAGACTAGAGGAACAGCTGTTGATGCTGAGCTGATTCAGAATACTGAATTCGTCATATACGTGCCGGCTGCTTCCTAAAATTATGTTATGGAGCGAAAATTCGGGAACATTGATTGGACCAAGACCGGCTTAATTTATCGGTTCTTGGAGCCGGTGAATGGATTAGACCCATGTCGACTTCGACGAAATTTGCAGTTACCGTACGTGTTGTTTGGGATCAGTCTGTGCAATCCATTTTAAATGTTACTAAATCCCACTAACTCCAAGCGTAGACGCCACATAAAACTTGACAAGCAATTGGGCACGCTTGGTTGAATGTACCTCAAAGACTGTGAGTGCAACTTGGATGTTGCCTGTCAATCAAGAACAGGAGTGTTGCAAATGGTAAGATTGAGGCCGTTGGTGTACACTAACGTGTTCACTGAGTTTGCTTACGAGTAACTAGTGTGGAAAATTGTTTGATTTAATCCCCATCGACATGAGAATTTGGCTCATACATTCTGAGCTCAATGGCCAACTGATCACGGCGATAGTCGCCGAACAATCTTTGTCGAGTTTCACTCCCTGATGAGTCCAAACAAGAACGAAACGCCTCGCAGAGTGCAGTGACGGGAGATAGAGACACCAGAATCCTGCACAGTCTGGCTAGTAGGTACGAACACTGGTGAATCCTTTAGAACAGTTTAAAACTGAACACTGACAATGTTTACTTTTTGTGATACTGAGAAAATATGTCCACAAAGGAATGGCTCGTCGCTTCATGTACAATATGCTCAGGGATGCAAAACTGTTGGTAGTTGACGTTTAGGTACGGATTCATTTAGAACGTTTTGGTACAAATCTTCCTTTGCTGCTTCCACTGTTAGATTCCACCAGTACACGGGTATTCACAGTTGTTTCGTTATGGTGCATATCGCCGAAACCATGATCGCTGTGGGTTTTCTTGAAAGAGAAGAAATAGTTGGAACCGTCAATCATGACCGGGTCGTTAAGAGACAGTCGTAGGTAAATACTAGCATAAAAGTCTAAAGTGGTACGCAGCAACTCATATGTGATCAACATTCATCCAATACTTAGAGTAGTTGGACTCCGATGAGGGAAAATGTGAGGAGGGTCTTTAAAGTTTCAGCTGCATTAGCCGAATATCTTGAAGAAGTATGCACAGAGAGAGAGGAATTAAGTTAGAGTGAAGTGCCTAATCTTTACTACAATACGATGTTAGCATGGTTCAGTGAGATGTGTGATGGAATGGCAGAGAGGCTATGTGAGCTCAGTGACATTCGTTTCATCCTGCTCTTTCAAGTGGAAATCTGGGACTGACATGGCCGTATATAGAAAAGTGTAATGTTAGCATAAGGGTGAAAAAGCACTTTGGTTGGCCTCCCGTTTCAGAACGCAGGTAACGGTGATAATTGCCCGGTTGGCTTGGCCTGTAAGGTTGGTATGGCTGAGTAGATAAAATTGTAGCCCTAATGAAAGTGCCAATGTGAGGTACAGATACAATGACTCGATTATTTTCTCCGTTCAGAGCACACTTGGAAGTGTGAGCTATCAGGTCGAAAAAGGAACAATGAATAATGATTTATCACGGAATAAAAACCAGAGCTTGACACGGCCCATAGGATGGTTGGGGTGAATACGATGAAATCAAAATATATGTGGGTCGTCTACCGAGCATCTACCGAAGTAGATGCTTTGATAAATAACCTCAGTGTAAAATAAACAAATCGCGTGTAAGCGTGCAGAAATACACGGGCTGTAGTGGTTGTTAAATTTAAGGTGTTAGAAAAGTAAAAGATGGTCGCTCAGTTGGGTCCATTTGATACATAAATCCTGTAGCAAGGCATGATTGGTGTAATCCACAATAGCATAGTTTAGCTACCAAAGTGCTGGTAGCTAAGAGCAACATATGCTTATTTTTTTAAAACGTCCAAGGCAGGGGAGGATACAACTGAGTCTGGCAGTGCGTTCCAGGAATGGCGTACTCGAGGGGAAAAGTAATTCCGTCGACATTCTAGACGGCTATATTCTTCCCTCAACTTCAAACATTTATCGCTGAGCTGCGTGTTGTGGTTAGGCTTCAGCAAATAGCGGCATACGTGGTTGGAGTCACTCAATATTTGATACGCTAATATGTGATCGTCGCGCAGCCTTCGGTAGCGTCCGCTAAAAATTCCGAGCAACTTCAGCCTTCGATGGCAAGAGTGATAGTGCAGCCCCTTGACATTCTTTATTACTCTTCGTTGTGGTGCCTCTAATGCCTAGGTCGCACTTCAACTAAGGTTGCCAAGCTTGGATAGCGCATTCAACATGTCGGCATACGTAGGAATTGCGTAGTACTGAGAAGGTTGATGGGTCAAATCTCCCGAACGCCCTTCTCAGCATGCCGACGTGCTGGTTGAGGTCAATCGGTACGAACACACCAAGGTCACGTCCCCGGGAGCTGGTCTGCAATCCGTGTGCCCAAAGCAAATATGTGTAGTCATGTATACGGTGTAATTGCAAAGCGCGACATTTGGCTACGTTGAATAGTAGGGTGTTTTGTACAGACAAGTTTGCCACCATGGTAATATCGCACTGGAGCCGTTCGTGGTCTTCCGATCCTCTGATCCTTCGCCACATCTCGATAAAAACCGCGAAAAGTAAGAAATCGGAAGCAACTGATCTCGCCAAATCGTTAATGAACACCAAGAATAGACGAGGTCCAAGCACCGAGCCTTGTGGAAGACCACACTCCACATCAGTTGCATCGGACAGAGTTTCCCGGACTCTCACCTTCAATCAAGGTTCATGTAGAAAATTGCTAATCGGACTCCGGATTGGGTCGCTGATGCCGTAGTTCCGACGCTTCTGAAGCAGAATTTGATGGTCTAAGCTATCAAAGGCTTTTGAGAAGTCCAGATAGATGACATCGACTGCTGTTCCATTAACAACGGCTTCAGTCCAGCTATTACGTGCAAATAATAGGTTAGTGGTACAAGAACACTTTTGACGAAAGCCATTTTGCTCTGGGGCTATTAATTTGTGTCTTTCTAGCCACTGCATCAACTCATCTGCCATGAATGATCCCATAACTTGTGATAGTATGGGAAACAGCGTTATTGGACGGTAGTTAGTAGGGTCTGTGCGGCTACTTTATGTATACTGGTGACATTTGGTTCTTCTCTAGACGCCGCTGATATAAAACGGTCAGTGGTTCTGCTAGATCACTAGTTACTGCCTGCGGGGACTTTGGTCAAATGTTGTCGACTCCAAAAGAACTGTGGATACGCAAGGATAACAACATCAACGCAGCTTCCGAAGTGAAGGTGATGTTGTCTAAACCCGACGGTGGAGGAAAAGAAATGAGGAGAATAACTGCGTTTTATTATCTACTGGAATGTTTGGGAGTAATGTAGCCGTAGAAGACTGGATGCTTCTATTATTGACCACTTGCATCCTTTAGCCGTGACTAGTTGTGGAATCCCCCGCTTCAACTTTCGAAGGTCGTTAATGTGCCTGTACAGAAGTTTGCGGCTCATGCAGAATCGCTTCATTAAATCCTGCTGATGCGTGACCTTGTCCTTGAGGATCAATTTCTCACAAGAGTTACGATGTGTCACGTATGTACTTTAGATTTCAGCATTCGGGCAGTCCTTGTGAACTCCCCATGCCAAGTCCCCCAGCAACATACGTTTAGTTGTTCTGCTCCTCAGAAATAAATTATATTTGTTTTAGGTTGGAAGGACTTCCGTTCCGATGCGTGCGTTACCAGTGTGCTAAACATTCTTGTGAACGTTTCCCAGGCTACAGCTGGGGGGCATTCGGATAAGAAACTCCAAGATGTATCCTTAACAAGCGTACCTAACATGTTATAGAGCACGAAAGCATGCACTTTATCATCCTCCTTTTCTGGGTATCTAGCGTAGCATATATAGTCAGAGAATAGCGTGGCACGCTCATTGCGACCCAGTGGTGTGTTTGCACCTATCCCGTCGGTCTTGAGTTCTTCGATAGTGGGCAGAAAATCCAGCATCAGCGGCTTGTTAGCAGTTCGAAATCTGGTGGGATAGGTTACGTGGTTGTACTGGGGTGGCTAACAAGTGACTCTTGCAAGTAGGCTTTAAACAGCGCATCATCGGTTGCTGGCGTTTCCACGTCGTGCACATTGTAGCCTCCAGTGATATAAGGTTGGTGTAGGACTTGTTCAAAGCAAACTGAAAGATATGGTTCAGTTTGGGGGAAACTGGAATATTGCGTGTGGAAGAAGCATCATCTCACTGTTAGAACCAAGGTGATGGTGTAGAAATCCATAGTTCTGTCGGTCCTTATCTATGGGTCGGAAACGTGGACACTGTACCGAAAGGATATCCGGTTTCTGGAACGATTCCATCAACCGTGCCTTCGCCGGATTCTGCACATCCAATGGTGGGACAATGTGCCGGACACTGATATGATCCGCCGGAGCGAAGTGTACACCATGGACTAAACGCTACTGCCGCGACATCTACGCTGGCTTGCATAGGTGCGCCGTATGGATGAAACGAGAATCCCAAAACAACTGCTGTATGGGCAACTAAGCGCAGGCGGTCGAAATGCAAGCAAACCAAAGTTGCGCTACTAAGACAATATCAATGTTAGTTTGTTCAGAGTAACTACTGACCTGTGTTTGGGAGGAGATGGCAACGAATCGCCGCACATGGCGTGATCTCATCATGTGTACCGTTGTCCAAGCGCAAAAAATGCAGCTGGTGCATCGGGAAATTAAATCTGCAGCACGCGAACAACAGCTGCCGGCGGACTACACTTCTTCGGCTACTCCCACATGGAGCTGTACTGCATGCGGCCGTGTGTGCCTTAGCCCAGCCGGTCTGGCCAGTCATCAACGAGGCCACGATGGGCTATGCCGAATAGGTCGACTGTGAGACCGATCACCACGGACTGACATGTGGCACTTGGTGGTACGCAACTGAGAAGGGGCGGTACAAATTCAATCGCCCAAATGTTATGGAGCGAGGTGAGTCAGAACGGAATCCCCGTTCGCTCGCAACATTGGACGGGAGGACTTTTGCACTGATACCGCACTAATTCATCGAGTTTTGCAGCGCAGAGACAACCACCCATAGTTTCTGCAAAGACACAGGAGCATTGTATTTGCCCTACTAGTAATCCGAATACAGATGCCCACGTACGGGTACCCGTATGCTGAGATTTGATGTTGCATATACCATGTGTCCTCACGGCAGTTGGGCTACGCTGGCCTACCTCATGTTACCATATTTTACCGGACCTTACTAGTACCATAGCCTCCAAATGCTTTAGCTATTACAGTGTGCAAAACCAGTGCTCCCTCATTTTGATGGCAGATTGGAAATCTGATGGACGTGTCCAAGTTGACGATGCATTCAAAGATAAATCGCTCAAGTTCATCCTTGAAAAGTGAACAGTCCTGGCAAGTAACTGACTGGTGATTAACATGCTGATGTTGAGGTTTCATGCTCTGTTTCACATGTTATCAGTTAGAATGATTAGAGCTATAATTCCCGTTCTTCATCCGCCATCCTTAACTTACCTTATGAAAATCAGTCGACTCCAGCGCACCATTTCCCTGCACACCTGAACACTTGCCTACTGACGCTCTGTTATTTTCTTAGTGTCATCCTTATGCTATTGCTAGTGTAAGTATGGCTTGGGCACAGTTGATATCTAGAAAATGATTAACTACTGACTTGGTGCGATGCAGTAGCATTATTGCACCTATCTAAGAGGCACCTACTAGAAGTTTTATTAGACATGGCAAATTTTCTGGGTAGACAAAGAAGAAGGTAATGCCAACGGTAATGATACTTCAGTGTCTTAGTATGTTATAGCGGAATGGAATCGGCACATAGCGACAATTGTTTATTTTAGGGGCTCCTATTGGCTGCACCCCAGATATACGATGCAGATTGTTACCAAATAGT